GCTTTGCCTCAGGTTTTTTCCTCGAAAAGGAAAGGATTAAACCTCGACTCGCGAGAGGATACATTTCCCTTCCTGCCCTCGAATATTCCATCGTATTGTACACACGGTGTGCGTATATATATGTGTGTGTGTGTATATGCACGGCTTGTATCATTCCGCTCGTGATGTCGTCGCGGAAAATTAAGCGAAGGACGAAGAAAACGTTTCGTTGAACCTTGTTCATCTCGTTACCGTCTCTTACGTGTAATGGGAAATTCTTGCGTCACGTCTTTTTTCCATCGCTTTTTGCTACTTCTCGATCGCTTCGTCTTTTTTTCTTTCTTTTTTTCAGACGCGAGCAGATTGAAAAGTGACACGTTAGGAAGAAGTGGAAAGTATGCTCTTCGTTTTGAGTTTATACGAAACTATCTAACGTCTAAAAACTTAGGGGGAAAGTTAAGTGGAACGAGATATTCATTCGTGAAACTCCGTGGAAATGGAGATTTAAAATATTTCTTATTCGATTATATATCGTCGACGTTTCGATTCCACGTTTTTTCACCCTCTCTCCTCGAGTCGAAGAGACGCTTTCCCGGTTAAGCTGTGAATGAAATCGAGTTCAAATCCACGCTATTTACGTTAAACCGTCGTTTTGTTGCGTGGCAAGCGTACAGAATATTAGAAGAGCCTTCAAGAACAGTTTCGATCGTATCCTTGCTTCAATAATAAATGATCGCGAAGACGATCATTTTCGATCGGGAATGAAGGGAGAACAAGAAGGGAGAAAGAACAAGAGGATACACCACGCTTTCGCGTAAATTCCATCCTCTTATTAAAATTATTAAAACGGTTTAAAACGGTTGAATCGTGAGGATTATTGAAATAGTAATATACGATATAACGGCAGCAGGTTGTACGAGGATGGGATACACGAGTTGGCTTCGCGTGCTAGGCCACAAATTATTCTGCGCTAGATAGAGTAGGATGTCTGTCTAGCTTTATTACAAGTAGAAATTTATAACTCGAGGCTTGAAACTCGTCATCTCGGTTGAGATATTCCTTTCTTATAAATATTCCACTCTTACACGATATATTATGCATTACACGTTTTCTTTAATCTCGGTTATACTCTGATGGACTTTTAATCGTGGTGTAACGGGTTGGGATCGTTGCCAATTAAATCTACGATCGATAAATTAGCGAAATAATTAGCATCTTTCTATTCTATTCGCTCACCACGCAAACCATGCTTTTTTTCTTCTTCTTTTATTCTTGACATAAATTTAAACGGATGTTCAGTGAAACATGGTGTAACAAACGAGGTCGTTGCGTTAGATTTATGTTGTTTACGTTCCAACTTAGCCACCGAACGGATAATTGAAGGGAAGAAGAGTAAGGAAAGATGTAAATACGAGTTTTTTCTTTTTTTTCATCGATGACGCGAAATCGATGACGCAGACTCGCTAAATTTTCCTTCAACTTTTCAAGTACGTTCTCTTCTTTTGTCGGCGGCTTATTTAAATGCAGTATTGGTATAACGAAGTTTCAAGTTTTTTTCTATCATTCATTGACAGCTTTTAAATCAGCTTTCGAATAAATCTTCGGAAGAAGGGGGAAGAGAAGGAGAAACTTGTCTACTCCGATATATTAAGGGGAAAAAAGATATTTCCTCGATTATTTATTTTATCAACAAAACAAGATTCTGAAGAATACCGGAGAGCACGATTTACAAGTTTCGAATTTAAAAAGCTTCTCAAAATGATAAATGATGCAGGAAGTATAGGAGAAAGCATTATTATCGTTAATCAATAACATTCCTCGAAGTGCGATAATGAATGTGTACGAATCCATTTTCATAAGATGCGTCTTATCGTTAAAATATTGAAGAAAAAAGCGAATCAAAAGTGGAATTTAATTTCTCATTGGATTTCATTAAATTCGTCCTTAACCGTAACAAGGAAGAAATTCTCCGACATTCCGAGATCATTTATCCTGGTAAGAAAATGATTTATAGATTTCCTTTATCGCTTAAAAGTATTTTTCTCGAGGTGCGTAAATGTAGGGCAACGTTTCTCTCTAACGTTTTCTCACACCCCGTGAAAAAAAATAACCGCGTTACTACGACTACATTACCGTTCAACAGTGGAAGACTATTTTTTTTTCTTTTTTTTTTTTTTACAAATTTTTATGGAGGAAAAAGCGCGCGATACCTGGACAGGTTATTACTTTTCCGCTAGTGTACATGGTGGCTCGTTTGAATAGTGACAAGTTACAAATTTGGGACAAATAATTTCAACAAATAAGTTTTACAATGCGGAAATTTTTTTTTTTTTCGGAATATTCTGCGATATTCTTTTTATGGTACGACGGGATATTTGGAAGATTATTCTATGAATTAAACATCGCGTACTTTACGATAATAATATCGATATTAAACTACGTTATCGAAATATGGATCGGAAATATGATGCATTGTACATGCATATAGCCACATTGGGAAATTATATTTACCTTTTTGATCGAGGTTTATGTTTCGTAGTGATAAGAGCGAAACATCGATATAATTAAAAATGACGAACGTTCCTGCGTACGCGTGCACGATTCATTTTTCAATCAGTTGTAATTAATTTCGTTCGTGTAATTATTCGTTATTCCATGATTTTATTATTATATCCGTATTGTATAAATATTATTTCCATTTCGATATTGTTACGTTGTATTTTGTATCGTTCGTGTTGTTATTTCTCGAATAACAAATTCCTTCGATTAGAGAAGTTGATCGAGAAAAATCTTCCAAGTTTTTCGCATCGTCGATGTTTTAATCACTCTCAACCCTCCCTCAGATTCAGCGTCGTGATTCGTATCGATACGTACGATTTTCGAAATTACGGATCCTTTAGCACGTTAATTGCCACTGCGTCTCGATGATGAGACTCGCACCAAGAGAATTTAGCGTACTTGTTTCGCCAATTTCAAAAGGTATTCGAAACTCTGATAATTTTCTTCTGTAATTTCACCGTATGTAAAAACCGATACGGGGGATTATATTGGTAAAAGTTATTTGTCTAGAAATAATATTAAAAAAATTTTAACAATTTTTAGGGATTCCGATTTTTTTCTTTTTAAATTCCATTTCTCTATTTTTTCAGCCAAAAGATATCTCTTTACGAGCAATTAAAATTCAAAGCGATGTTATTTTCATAAAGAATATCTTTTAAAGGCAATGTAAAATATAAGTAAAAATCATCGATTACGATATTTTTTGAATCTAAATATTTGCAAACATCGATAATTCGATTTTTAATTTTTAATCGAGTTGAATAAACCGATAAAACTTCTTTCATTTCTTCCCTATTTTTTATCAATGATAATAAAGATAGAAAAGAAGGAAAGAAAATTGAGATTCCAATTAATTTGTATTTATACGATTAATCGATGCTTAAGAATGATAAATATAACGATCTTAACGAGGCACGTATCAATGACGTACAGCGATGCGAATTTTATTTTATTCTCAGAAATCACCGATGGAATATATATTTCTATGAATGATATATTTCGTATGAGCGTTTAATACTGGAATTGAAGCAAAATACAATTAGCGTTGCAATTGCCTTCGATCGCGCTAATTTTATTCACTCTTTTCTTTTTTTTCTTCGTTGATCTTGAAGTTGCTTTGCTAAGCAAACATTTTGTTAAGCAAGATTCTCAAAAATAAAAAAAAAAAAAAGAATGCAACTTGAAATCGTGCAATTAGAAGAGAAATAAAATTCGAATAATTGTAAGCGTTCCATTAAGCGTATATATGTATATGTTTATTAAAACATGATTGAAACCGGTGCAACCGGTGAACAAAACGAATCCTTCAGACGAAATACTCGAAACGGTATCCGAGAGTTTTATATCCGAAAGGTCGTTTAACTTCTGCACGGCGAGATCTCATTCTTTTCTTTGGTGATTCGCTTCATTTTCCTCTTATTCCTTCCTCTTATAATACTTCAGATCTTTTGTAACATCGTGCACACACTGTTTATATTCGCTAATCCAAGCTCGAATATATAAAGTCGAGCTGTATAACTCGACTCTTCGTTTCAAACGGATGACTCTACTCGAGATTTTCTTGAAAAATATAATCCAACGTATCTCTGAACGTCTCGAGAACTGTTGCCGCGATTTTGATACAATTTAACAAACGTTACTCTCGCAAGGATGATAAAAGTAATGCGATTCTTTTATTCGTTCGATCCCGATTATAATCCCAAATGGCTTGCGATATACATCGCAAAGTGGCCTCGAACCAAACAATAGAGATATTAACTTTCAGATCAGTTTCACCAGATATCATAAACGTATCATGATTTTCTCTACGTAAAAGTTTCTCGATCACGCGATCGATCTCGTTACGTGAATACGAATACGAGGATGTATTGATCGATTCAAAGATGAATTTTACGAATGAACGAAAGAGGAATTAATGGAATCGAAGGAGAGGAATAATTCGTTTCAATCAGGGGGATGAGGGGGATGCAAAGAGGTTTCTTTTCGTGCATTTTTAATAATTTTCTTCATAGTTATCATAACTAATATTATTATTATTAAGAAATATACCAAGATATCTTCTTACTTATATCATTCATCATCATTTATATATATATATATTTAGGAATTTCATACCATCGTAATAATAAAAAATTTTTCAATCTAAATTATGATCAAATTTCATCATTTCCACTCTTTCTTCACTCAGAAAAAATCGATACCAGACCGATATTCCCCTTTACACTTACGACTTTATTTCTAGTACATATATTGAATTTTTCGTATCCCCCGATACAAAAAAGTCGAAACGTGTGAAAGTACATCCATTCAAAAGCTTCTTCTTCTTCTTCTTCTTCCTCTAAAACCCATTGTTCTTTAACATCCAGCCATAATCTTGCTCTTTCGGCGAGAGAACGAGAATACACTTTCGAGGCAATCGGTCAGACGAGATCGACGAAAGATTTCCCCCTCCCCCCTCTCTTTCGTGATCGATGGAAGGAAAAATCGATACGATCCTTTCATCGAAGGTAAAAAGAAAAGGAAAAAAAAAAAAAGAATATGTTCGTCTTCCAGGAGGGCGCACGATGGACGGAAATGCGGAAATCGCCGAGCGGAAGTCATGGTCAATGGAGCGGGGGTAAAGCGCCATGGCGAATCAAACGGCCAATTACTATGGGGACGTTTATCAATGGAATCACACGGTGTCGTCGGGCGAGCGAGATACGCGGACGGAATATTATCTACCGAATTGGACGGATCTCGTTTTGGCGGGGCTGTTCACCATGTTGATCATCGTCACTATAGTAAGCAACAATTAAGCGAGCTGTACAGGAGGAGGAGTGGTTTGCTTTGTCGCCGGTTGATGTCGGTTGTGATACGATACCATTTCGATGGCTGCCATTTGTGAAAGGCCAGTTGTGAAACGGGAGAAAGTTGTTTGAGGAAATTCGCAAACAACGATCGTTAATCGACGGATCGATTGTTGAAACCGACGATGAATATTTATCCGAGATAATTATCGGAATAAATCCTTTTCTCGTCCCGCTTGACATCTCTTCCCCCCGTTTATTATTATTCCGTATCGAGTTATTCATTCAGTCGTTTCGTTCGAATTATTCAGCTTCGTTACTTTTTTTTTTTTTTTTTTTCGTATCGAAAGAAAATTTGCAAACAACAAACTCGAATAGATGGCGCGGGATATGATCGAATTGTTAAAATTGGCAAGATTAGGCGCGTGACTAGATCGTTTGTTTCCCTTTCTCTCGAGCGCAAATTTCGCCAATACTACGGAATAAAATGTTTATTTTTTTTCTACTTGTATGACAGGTGGGCAACACTTTGGTAATTGCCGCTGTGATAACAACTAGGCGTCTACGGTCCGTTACTAATTGTTTCGTGTCCAGCTTGGCCGCTGCGGATTTGCTGGTTGGTTTGGCCGTGATGCCACCAGCAGTGCTGTTACAGGTATATAAGAGTATATTTAAAACTCTAGGGCGTAAGGATAAAAACGTAAAAATATCAGGACAGGAAAATATGTATGTGTATATTTTTAATTAAACTCGATTTAGAAGTTTAATATATATATATAGATAACGTGGAATTGAAAAGGAGTAGAGAAATTAAGTGGAACGAATGGACGATCGATGAGGGGACGTCTGAGATATTTCGTGGTTTTCCATTCGAAAAGTTCGAACTGCTCGTGTGAGAAGAAATTTCTCGAGCGTTGCTGCTACGTAAATCAACAAGAGGGATATTTCGATCGGGAACGTTGGGACGATGTATCATGCTATAAAAGTCGAAGTTAATAAATGGTCACTACGTTGGCGTTAACACCGTTTTCAAAATCCGTTTATAGAGACATTGTATCTGTGTGTAAAAGTTTGCAAGACAATTATTACAATTATTACGATTTTTTTATATACCATAGAGAGACACGTGTAAATCCATATCATATTTTCCGATCTATCCAATGATACGAATTTCAACGAGCATTATTAGCATGATTGAAAATTAAATTAAAAACTGCGGGAGAAAGAAGACTGCGTTTTAACGCAGTTAGAAATTAATATCCCCATTTTATTACGAATGAGAACCTGCTAAAAGCCTTACATTAATAGAATTAAATTTAATTAACATTAAGTGAAAGGGAAATTTATCCGAACGTTTTCATAATTAAAAATTCCGTATCATTTCGTTACGTTGCCATTAAAAGTCGAATGAGCGTACTATAGATTTATTCGTTTAAAAACGAACGATCTCTTCGTTTCTCGACACATTAGCCATTCTCGGCTTTAAAGTGACGATTACCAACACAGATCGTTCGTTCTTCTTCAACGGTGAATAGCAATTTTGCATATAGATTGGAGCCCAGAGTCGTTTCGTAATGAACGCTCTTCGATACGGAACCGATCCAATCAACCGGATACTGCGGGGACCATTCTTAATGTCCACGATTCTCAATAGAGGCGATTACTCTTTTCCGATGAAACGCTTTGATAAATACGAACAATAGGGAAACCTTGGAAAATTAATTATTAACGCGATTCTCCTCCCAATCGAATACATTCGGTTTATTTGCGATAATTTAATCGATATTAATTAAACGTTTAATAAACTTTTTAAACAATTTGCAATTTAAATCGCCTGTTCGCGTGAATGCATAATGCAAACGGTGCCTCGCCAAGTTGATAGAAGATTGATCGAATTATCCTCCATCAAATTCATTATTTTCGTATTTACATATAACGACATATTCAACGATCGTGTCGTTGTTATAACGTTTCGATTATACGAGAGAGCGTGGCGATTCCGTGGTTAATTTTCGCGGTGAATTCGTTTCAAAGAGGAAGCAATGGAATTCACGGTGTCAATCGAGTCTTCCCTAGATGGTTGCTTTGGTAACTCGAGTAAAGCAAACTAACGCGATACCCTGAAGAGTTGTTTGGGTGAAAGTTTCGTTCTGAGAGAGAGAGGAAAAAAAAGAAGAAAGAAAAAAAAGGAATATCGATGAGAATAACGAACGTCGCGGTCACGAGAGGCCTCTTCCGGCCAACGAATAATTTATTCCTAGCCCCTTTTCGCCAAACGAAATTAAAACGTTCCGTGCAATTAACCGGGTCTCGGTTGGTGGAGGAGTACAATTCGTAATCTTCTGTACAGTTTGCCTGATTATTACAGTTGGAAGTGTTTAAATGATAGTAGAAAAGAGTTCATCTTTAAATGAAAATCCTCTGGATCGATGGACGAGATTAACGGAACTCGATCGGAATGAGAGAATATAAGAATTGTTTCCTGAATTTCGTTTGTCGTTAATGGACACCGACGACGATTGATTTCTTCTTTGGCGTAAGATTTTTCGCTCCGAAACTCGTGCAAGTTAGGGAATTCAATCGGTCAAGATTAAATTAATCAAAGTTCGGTTTAAAGAAAGAAGTTGAAGATTGGCTCTTATAAAATAGAGATAATGAAAAATGATCGTTCTTGTTTTCTCATCCTCATCAATGATCGAGTTGAGAGCAATAAAATCATAAATCACGCTCGAGAAAAAATGCTAATGGTACAGAAGAAATATGGCGTACGAAATATTGGTCGCGGTTGAAGAAGGCAATCGAAAAAGATTACAACATCTTTCTTAATGCGATTTTTATTAAACCGGCAACAATGTCAAGACTCGTGAAATGTATCTGAAAATATCATTGTCAGAAAGGATGAGCGAGTGAATTCAGTTACAAATACCGAGAAAGAGGTAACCGAGATATCTCGTTCGAAGCAGCGGCATGTGAATTATATTGCATCGCGAGATATTACACAGCGTTGCACCAATGATTTTGCATTGTAAGATATTTCGTATGAAAGACATTGCGTTACAAGATATTGCGTCCAAAGTATATCATAATGGATCATATAGGCGAGATATTTTGCCTGTTGATTTGTTACAGATTATCGTTAATAACGTAACTTTTATATCGATATAATTTTATAATTAACATTTAGTTTGAAAATCGAATAAAAAATCCAGTAGATTAATAATTTATTGATTTCGTTCGATGAACGAGTTTTCTTCTAATTTCATTTTTTTTTTTTTTTTTCATATGAACGCATCTCGAATCTTTTGTGTTGAAGATCGAAATAAAAGCGAACTGTATCTCAATCTTGAAAGGCTGACTTTACTCGTTCAAAGTGAACTTGAATATAAAGGAACATAGTATTTCTAAAGATTCTTTTTATTTCTATAGTTATACATGTTTTATTCGGATTTTTAAATCTTGAATGAGATCGAAATCTTTTGTAAATAATGCATCGCGTATAATTGTACCGTTACGATTAAAATTTAATAGGAATAATATCGGGATAAGATCAATCGATCGAGTTTTTTTTAAAGACGAAAATTTTCATTTCGCTTTGTCTTTTCATTCTTAAAATGAAAATCTGAAAGTCCATCATCTCGAGACATTGTAAAAATGATCTCCTATCTCGTAATAGGATAAAGCATTAAAAGATGCACAATGGTTTGGAACACAAGTCCAAAGCCAAGTCACGTACATAATACACACTAACAGAAGTTCCTTAGAGAAAGAAGATATGCGGACAATGATGTTTCATATTTTCTTTTTCGCCTTTTTGTCGCGTTACGTGTTACAAAAGGTGGGCAAGATGAAAAGTGCTACGATCTGAATAATGATGCAACACGCAAAACATTAATCTCAAAGTGTTTTTAAGGTGAATGACAATCCTGTTTCGATAAACTATAAATATAAAACAATTCAACGATTATGAAATAATATTATCATCGTCACAACACTTAACTGTTATCAAACTCGGTATAATAAAATAATTGAAAAAAAACTTGGGAAAAAATACGTAACAAATATTTAATCTCTCGACGAAGATTGATTAACTTGTACAGGAAAATAAAAGAAAAAAAAAAAACAAATAATTTTCCGGTTAAAATTTCTGGATGATGAAATTTTTTTCTCCGACCAATATCGAACGAATCAGAAATAAGATAAATTTTACACAGGGAAACGAGTGTTTAACAGCTCGACATTAATCTCTGTCAACGGCACACTGATGCTCAACTTCACTTTTCGTTATCTATTGACAAATTGTTTCGATAAATTCCATACAAGTTGGCTAAAATAATTCGTGGCCGGGGATATCGAACGGAATTAAAAGTATCATATTTTCTCTATAACGCTTACCTTATCCTCTTTTCTTACACACAATATCCATTCATTCTCTACTTGCAATACGAGAAAATCCTTTTTCAAATGTTACAGATCTTTTTCTGTGTCGAGACGAGATGAAAGTATCCATCATAATACACATTCTCTATTCACGATCTTACATTGTTCTCGCATTGTCAATCCTTTTTTTTGAATATTAAAGATTTTTTTTTTCAAGACGAATATAATATCTACAATCTTACGATTCACGATTATTAACAATAAGAAAGAAAATATTTCTTTCAAGACGATATTCTATCGTAATATTTACAATCGTACGATTTATATACCGTCGATAATAGCGAAGAAAATGTTTCTTTCTTCTTTTTTTTCAAAAAATTTTTTTATATCGAGATAACGTGGATGTTGGAAGATTAAAGATTACCTTCGTCAACGCGAGATCAAAATTTCGCGTAATACCAGCCAACTCGATCAGATGGAAAATGGAAACGATCTTGAAAGAGGTTAGGTCGCCCCCGCCTATCCGTAAACTCCAATTGTATCGGCTTGGATGGTGCTTTCTCCTCTACCCATTTACAGATTAAAATGGAAGGCCGCGAGCACAGCAAACGAACGAAAACAAACTTCAATATCCCCGAGACACTCGCGCGGAATCATTTGCAACGCTAACGAAACTATACGCTCGCGTCTAGTTGCACAGGTCAGCTGACATTGTTTGCGAGAGGGAGCTCTTTAACCTCTTCGCTCGTAATTAGAGCTTTAATCGTTAGCATGGTTTGTCGCACGATTTTTCAATTCAAACGCATTTCTACAATCAAATCTCGATATAACATCATGGAATTTGTTCCTTTTTTTTTTCTTGGATATGAGAAAATTATTAGCTTTGAAGATCATTAAAGTGTCTCCCTCTTTATCTATCTTCGTATCGTTAAATTCATGGAAATTCTTAAGGGGGAATGTTCAATTACATGTCGGTTTAAAACTCGTCGGTTTAAAAATTTCAAACGGTTGAGGGAAATATTCGCATCTTCATCTCATAAAAATTCCCGTATTTCCATGTATTATTATATTCCCGTTGCTCGGATGCATAATTCTAATGACTAGGGCGTCTCAGTTATAACGAACAAGTAAATTATTTCCGATATCGAAAAAAAAAAATAATAATAAAAACGGTATGTTCCAGTTTTTTCACCAAAATATCGGTATATTTCACGAATAAAAATAGATATAACGTTCGATTTATAACCCACCTAGCGTAACACCTAGTTTCTCTTATCGTCTATTTCAACGGTTTTGTAAATGTGTTTTTCGAAATGGGTAGTGTGCATTCCAACAGAAAAGAAAAATAATAACGTTGCTTCGGCGAAGAAATTGAAGTTACGATTTCAAAAATTATTACACTACAAATTATATTTGCCGACAAATTGAACAGCATCGTATCTCGACACCTGTGTGGGAGATATTAAAGCGACGTAAATTTCATCCGTATCACATTTCACCTTATCGAAAACTTTAATGGTCGAAATTCGAGAGATACGTCTATAATAAATAATAAAAATTAGATATTTCTCGAAAAGAAATGGCTAATTCAAAAATTCTTAAAGTTCTAATTTAATTCCAATTTTCATATTGTTTTAATACATCAACATTAACAAAAATAATTTACAGTATAAATAAAATACTCTATAGATGCATGATCGTATTAAATAGTTTGAAGGCCATGTAGTAAGTAGTTTCACCAGTGATGCGGGTCAGCATCTGTAATCGTCCCATGGGTGGAAAATTGCTGGAAGAACTTAAAAGTTAGATAATAAAATTGGTCACTCCAGTCGTGTCATGGAACAAGATAAAATATTCGATAGAATCGGAAATTCTAGATAACTTTGAAATACGATGAATCAAAAATTTCTTTGAACAGAAAAATACACGCGATACGATGCTCGGCTCGAATATTTTCGTGACCGAATCTTATGTAAATTTTCGCCTGATCAATTATCTTCGTATATTTCTTGCAACAATTACGGTTACCGCGAACAACTCGGAAAGCAATCAACGTCACAATGAGATCGAAGTCTGGCACGCTCGCGTGTGTACTCGTCAGGCGAATGGGTTCAGCTCGCGGCTGTTTAACCGTTTTAAGTGGTATAGGTGCGTGGTAGGTCTGTCCGATGAATACCATAGAAAGCATAGATACGTATCTAATATCGTCAGTATAGATCGTGAATACAGTGGAAATTAGTTTTGAAACGGAATGAGATAAGGTAGAGAAAAATATTTATAATTAGTGAAAAAACGTGACTGTTTCAAAAACAACGTGAGAATACATTTAGTCGAATAAAGGTGAAGAATGATTATGAAACGTGTCTTTTAACAATGTAAAAATGTAATTGCAGAGCAACAGTTAAAAATAGAACAATGGCACGATAGTTAGTCTTTTTGTCTCTAAACTTTAGTGTAATTTATTGTCTGCGTTTATCTCAATTGAATATTTAGATTTTGAGGTTATGTTTACATAGATCGTTAATGCCAAAGGTTGGATTACACATTTCTTCTTATTTACGTCCAAACTTTTACTTATTTTTATACGAACAGGTATGCTATGCTATTTTTATACATGCAGATTGCACGAATTCTTTTTTTCGTGCCGTATAACAATAATTAAATCAATTGTCCAAATATGTATCATCATCGTTAATTTAAGAATTAAATTTAAAGAAAAAAAGATATCGTGAATTTTCGCGCAAGATGTTTAATAAAACGAATTTGACGAAGCTCACAGGTGGTACCTGGGAGTTGGGCCCGATGCTCTGCGACTCGTGGGTCTCCCTCGACATTCTTCTCTGTACTGCCAGCATACTATCGTTATGCGCCATATCCATAGACAGGTGAGTACGTTGCATTACCGAATCGAGGCACGTCGAAACGAAACGAGATTACCGCGGCAAATTTTACCGTGCGGGAATAGAGTGGGCAAACGCTTCGCCTATGCTCGAATACCAATAGACACAGTAGTAATCCTGATCTTCTTTTAGCGTTGAAACGAAATCGTTTAAACTTTACAGGAAATTTTCTATGAAGAGAGGCACGTACTATTTATATCGATCGATGTTTAAACCTGTTTTCGGTCTAGTAGCTGAAAAAAATTAAAAGTTCTCGATTTCGAAGCCAATATAAGATGAGTAAGAGTGAAAACGTGAAACGAATGTTAACTGTATTTTCCAACAGTCGATAACTGTTAGCGCGTTAACTGGCGCGTTAAAATTTACAGTTCGAACGGAACTATTTGAAACATACTTTAAAACTTTATCATCTTAAATCGAACGATTAAACCTATTCAAACTTTCAACTATCCCAAAATTTCCAACTGAAATTACGAAAGACGAAATGACACATTCATTTTAATTAGATTCTATTTTTTCCTAAGTATTTCTCAATATGAATAATTTTTTTTATCATTGATTCGAAGCTCTAGAAATAACGAATTCATCGAATCTTGAAAAACTATCTGTCATAAGAAACTATTAAACGTTTGAAAAAACGATAATTCATTAGAGAAGAGAGAAGGATAAAATGAATGAGATAACGTTTCATAATTTAGCCCGTTTAATTTTTTCATTTTTCAAAATCAAAACGATAAAAAACCTCAATTATCCTCACACTATTATCCTATCAACTTTTATCTCAAAGTTACACCTCTGATCACGTCTTACGTGCTTTCTAAATGAATTTTCGTTCAAGGTATCTAGCCGTAACTCAACCGTTGATATACAGCCGAAGGCGACGAAGCAAGAGATTGGCCGGTCTAATGATCGTCGCAGTATGGGTGTTAGCCGGCGCCATCACCAGTCCACCTTTGCTAGGATGTTTTCCACGCGCGACAAATCGCGACATTAAAAAATGCTCGTACAACATGGACTCCTCGTACGTGATATTTTCCGCGATGGGTTCGTTTTTCCTACCGATGCTGGTGATGCTTTACGTTTACGGGAGGATATCTTGCGTGATCGCCAGCCGCCATAGAAATCTCGAAGCGACCGAGAGTGAAAACGTTCGACCACGGCGCAATGTCTTGGTAAGCATTAAAGATATTTATTCTATATGTTTCGATTCCATAAAAAATATTCTTTCATTTTTCTTCGTATTTTCCGAGGTACAAGTCTTTGTAATCGCATTTGAAACACGATGAATGTTATTCTCAAATACGAAACAATTTCAACGTGGTAAAGATTATTCTTCCGATTTATATTTTTATCTTCTTGTGAATTTTTTATTCGTGTGCTTACATTTATCGATTCTCTAGAAGGATATTCTTAATCGTTAAATTTACTCGTGCATGAAGACTGTTCTTATTTTTAGTTCTAGTTTCTAGAATGCAATTGTGAATAGGTTAGATTAGGTTAGAATTTTATTTGTTGTCAAAATTTTCAATAAGTTATGTTATATCTTATATCTATGAAACTGCACATTTCATCAAGACTTGGTCGACAAATTTATCCATGTATACATATCTAAATTGTATAATTTTGAAAGTATACGGATTGGAAAATTCACGTTTATCCGAAACATCCTTCTACTGGTATTATTCTAATTTTTCTGCATGGTTTCTCATAATTATAAAAATATCACTCGTTAAGCTCGAATTTAGTTTATAAGGGACGGCAAATGGAAGAAAAAAATCGTGAAATAAAGTATTGGATTTGAAAAATATTAATAAAATACCGTGAAATTAGCGATTGCACGGATGAATCAAACGCAGATTTGCATTGGAAGACTGACGAGCGCGTATAAATGAGAAATCGATTTGCAATTTGAATCTATTGATACTAATGCTTACAAACCTGTTACGATGACACCGTTCGACAGATTTCCACTACGTAATGCGAAACTCATGAATATGGAAGCGTAGACTTGCTCGATATTGCTTTCGACGCTGACATCAAAATCTTGCGCCTCGTTATTATCGTACTTTTACAAAAACTTGATAAAAAATTGACGAATCGTTCAATATTTAACGAACGATAATACCTAATTTACATGAAATTTTAAAGAAAATACCCAATGTTGGTTAAAGTCATATCGAATTTTGATTTTTACATCGTATCTTGAAACACTACGTATTATATTTACTTTAACAATCTCATTAAAGTTCCTCGTACTTTTGTATATATAAAAATGTAATTTAATGTTTTTTTAAAACAGAATAATCACCAAGACATTTATCTCCAAGAACTAGTTAGTAACCGGATAATTACGTCTTTTCTACGAATATCGCTCGCCCCCATAAAGAGGATGACATCGAATAAATTCCCCTTGAGGAATCGTATTAAACTCGAGGGAGAATGTCTAAATTTTTCTCTTCTTCGGATTCTTTCTCGGTATCTTACAAAAATTACAAAAATTCTTTATATAACACTCGAAATATTTTGCTCGCGTCACACACGCGACGTGATCGATAACAACCAGTTCCACGATATTTCCACAAATGTCTTCTCGAATTAAAAGGACTTTATCGTGCTCCGTCTAGATTCACCCTCCCTTTTTGCACCCTGTTTGGAAAGGATTTGAACTCAAGCCCAATTTGCCGCAGATCGAACGCGCGAAGAGCATCAGGGCGCGAAGAACGGAATGCGTGACCAACAGTGTGACGTGCGACAGGCCATCCGACGAGGCAGAACCTTCCAGCACGAGCAAAAAGCCCGGAATCGTTCGCAGCCATCAGCAGAGTTGCATCAACAGAGTCGCTCGAGAGACAAAAACGGCTGGCACTTTGGCGGTGGTCGTAGGTAGGTCAGAATTGATCATTTTGAACGTAATAACATTTATTCCAGTAGTTTTTATAGTTGATTATTCGACGAAATGATAAATGGTTAGAATACAAATTATCGAAATAACTTTATTGGTAATTTCATAAAATGTTAATTTGAAAATTTTTCTAGGTGGATTCGTGGCCTGTTGGTTACCATTCTTCATCCTCTATTTGGCCACCCCTTTCGTGCCTGTCGAACCACCCGATATCTTGATGCCTGCGTTAACTTGGCTAGGTAGCGATCATTCTGCTTTAAATAGTCGTAATTGTTGAATTTGCATCGCAATTCAACGATCATGATTCTCAATTTTTTAATGTTAATTGTACGCATTCATGAATATGAAAATGATTTAATTAAAAGAAGTGAAGGTATAGAAGAAAAGTGCTACAATTTGGCAAGGCTTACGCTTGTCTGGTGATAATTTTGTTAATTTAAATGATTATTGGAGCAAGAAAATTGAAGAACATCTCGATGGAAAATATCTTCCTCCATTCGAATTCGTTATTATGTTCTATACGTTATATGTTATTATTCAATGATTGTTTCGTTCGATTTCAGGGTGGATTAATTCAGCTATAAATCCATTCATCTACGCCTTCTATTCGGCCGATTTTAGACTTGCGTTCTGGCGATTGACCTGTCGAAAATGTTTCAAAAGTAGAACGAATTTGGATCCCAGCAATCGGAAATTACCAGCACCGGCTAATTGGAAGAAAGACACAACGAGAACGTGAAGATAGGGGAAGAACGAACGTTGATACGATCACCCCTTAGGTCGTGATCGTAACGAGGATCACTGTGATTTATTTAATAGCGCGATTCACATCGATCACATTCACCTAATTTATACGAAGCGTACATTCTCGCATTCAAACTAAATGAATTTTTTCAAATTAAATAATTTAAGAAACAGATAAATAATAGGTGCATGTAAAATGCGAATATCTTTATTATTCGGGAGATCGTACCAGGACGAACGTTGCAAAATTGCAAAATAATACGTACTATTGCGAATATAATTAATATAGAAATTTTTATATAACAGAATCTAATAGAATATAATTTAGAGATAGATTAAATGGAAAGAATTATTTTTTATTTCTTTATTCGATTCTCCTTTTATACAAAACAATGAGAAATTGCTATTTTAATATTGAAACCGAATATAATAATAATAATCATCGTCCGAATGATACATTTATTCGCAAAAATTCAAGCACTTTACTCGAACAATCGTGCATATACACGCACAACGACTGCACAATGTAAAATCGAATAAAAAAAAAAAGGAGACAAAAGGAATATTTATTTATTTAAATAATGGCGACACTTGAAGTTTGTTTACAATTGGGGTTATAATGGCATACGTAAAATAAAATTCGTAGAATCCAAGAAACAATAAGTAATAATCGATCGTAGGAAATAGTCTTCCTTATATTACAGTATATCTTGTCTTGTATTTATCGACGCATAGATATCTGTAAATGTAGAAAGTATGCAAGTATACGGATTTTATAACGTCCCACTGAGTTGTTTCATTCAATCCCACTCCTTTTATTTTTCGACTTCATGTTCAGATGTTAATTATATGACACCGGCTTTGTAGCCTTGTATCGTCGTAAATTAGCTCAATGAGATATTAATTAGCCCTCTCTCTCTGTACAAAAGCTGTTTGTTCTTGGTTAGTCCAACGGTGTCCAAGTGCATTGCTTTGTGTATGACATAAAAGAAAATGCATTAAATGTAGATGTAAAAATTTTATCGAATGATTTTAACAAATGGAGATTTTTATTCAATTACAATTGAAAATATTGATACGAGAAAATTATATTAATTATTAATAATAAAAATGAAGTTGAATTGTGCAAATTTTATCATGATATATAAGTTTTATATATAAGAAAGCTTTTTATATTTATCTAGAAAAAATAAAAATATAAATTTTCTTGTGAAAGAAATACTATTTAATTTGAAAATAATAATAGATCAATCATGTTATAGAAAATTTTCTTTTTTCATTTTTCTTTCATTGTATTTTAAAGAATTTAATTAAATTTTGTTAATAAAAAATGTGAAAATTATAAACAATCGTATATCCAATTATTTTAAATTATTCGTAATTATTTCGTATCCCCATTCATAATTTTAATTTTAAAAAATGAATATAATATTCTGATATTAATAATTTTAGTTGTTACAATGATTAAAATTTATAGAAAAATTTATAGAAAATTATTATACAATACCAAATTAAAAATGTTGAGATTATGTTAATTAATAAATTGGACAATGATACAATAAAGTTAATCAGAAGAAAAGAGCAAATTGTGAATGAAAGATAAAAATAGAATAATTGAAAATATTGAAATTAATGTTATCTTCAGTATCGCAAATGAAACACAGAAAATAAAGAGAAAAGATTATAAGAAAAGGATAGAGACAGCATAAAAATCAAACTACTGTCGCCATCTGTTGAGTGGTAAAGATAGAATAAATTGCAAAAATACTCGAGAGATGGCATCAAAAGCTCTATTTTACATATGCATATTAATTATTTTGTATTTTTGTTTAATTTATCGATTAAAAATCTCAACGAAAATTATTTTTATGTGTGCTTCTATGTATATTACATGTTCTAATTAATTCTTATATGTGTTAAATGCTTTTGAAGAAATATTTTTAAATTAATTTTTACAAAAAAATTATTAAATTTAATAATGTATTTTTATTATATTTTTTATATACAACTTTTTGATGAATAATCATCTTCTTGTTCCACAATATCCAATAATTGGTATCGTTTTTCGTAAATTTAAAAAAATTTTTTAAATTGTTTATGATAATTTTACGTAAATTATTATTCAAAAAAAAAAACGATATCAAACTATCAAATTATACAAAAAAAATGTAAATAAATAAATTACAAGACATAATAATGAATAAATCGATAAATAATCTATAAATAAATTAATAAATAAGTGAATTAATAAAAATATATATATGTAGAAGTCAAATAATTAACTATTAAATTAATAAATTTTTAATATATAAATAAAATTAATAATTTGTTCATAATATAATATAATTAGAATAATTAATTAAAATAATTAAAATATAATAACGTAATAACTATATAATTTTTCCATTTCGATTGTAGATTTACTTTTGTTGTCAAACAGAAAGCCATTATTTAAACTGTGGCGTGTGGCCTTAGTCTCTTGTGGAAAATCATCGTGAGAGGACGTGCGACCGTAACCGGCTTCGATTCAACGCAGTAAGTAATTTTGTTCACATTTTTCTATTTTAATTTATAATTACTATAAATTTTATTTATTTAATAATTCATTTATTATTATTATAACAAAATTAATGAATATTTTAAGTTTCTTTATATTTTTTTCATCGATCATATATTTGATTGAGGTTACCGGTAATTTGTATTTCGTTGAGTTGAGATTTGAATTCATTTGTTATTTCATCTTAACATAGTTTTTTTATGGATTTGTTTTATGATTATAATTTAGGCAAATTGTCCTTCGATAGAAATAATCTCAAAGAAAAAATGATTTATAGTATGCATACACTACGATTCCTAGCTGATAATTTTAATTTCTATTTTTTTTAATAAAAAGATCAACATTAGAATAAGATTCTATATTTTTAACATATAAAATCAATTTTATTTTATCAAATTAAATTCTTTTTGCCTTTCTAAATACATCTATTTATATATTTTTCTCTTTTTTTCATCCAATGTTATGTTCAACATTAATGATATTTTTTTCATAATATAGTATTTTTAAGAAACTGTAACATGAATTCGCCTTCGTGACATGTTTCGACATATTTCGATATGTTTCGATTTATTATTGTATTACCGTACATCTCCTCTCTCTAATTCGATAATCGAAATAAATTGTAACGCAGCGCGTCATCATGCTATCGATATTCGTTTAGCAATTAGAAGTTTCATTTTACCGTGACGTGTGTAATTTGTTTGTGATTTGTTTTTGCATAATATATATATATATTTCCTTTTACAGTTATGTATTATTTATCATTCATATATTACTATTTAATCGATACACGTTTATATTTATAATTAATAATCTTTCGAGGGCTAAATTCATTTTTCATTTATTTGACGGTTATTGACGGTTAGAAACGCAAAACGGTTATAGTTTTAATTAATTTATATTATAACATTCTAAGATGGAATTTGTAGTTAATTATTGTAGTTATTTTAATATGATCGATTAATTTTATACATTTATTTGAAAATTTTTATTCTTTTTTCTACAGATTGCCTGATTACTGGTCCAACTTCAAAGGCGGGAAAAGTTTCAATATGGACGCCATTATACTTTTTCAAAGAGAACTTTGATATTTTGCTTGTGTACTGTATGTATTTATTTTATTTTTTATTTGATCGCTTTTCATTATTTCGAAGTTTATTTATACTTTTATAACGAATATAAATTGTGAATATATATTATATTGTGATTGGATATATATTATATTCATTACAATTAATACTTTAGCTTAGAAAATAATTTAAAAATATATATTCTTCTTATACGTGAGATTTTTTATTATGAAAAATTGATAATAATTAATTCGTATTTCAAAAAAATAATAATAACGTGGTATGTTGTGTATTATTTTCTGAAACAAATTCAGAAAAAAAAGATGTGGTAGAATGAAAAACTATAGAAAGAATATTTTCCTTCTTTTTCTATAAATCTTAGTATGTTTTTTTCTTTCTTGCCATTGATTTTAAATAAATTTTTGCATAAAGAAATGTGTATGAAATGATGAATAAGTCTTGTAGATCTTTTTATAACATATATGTATAACATATAATACATACATATTATATATACATATATGTATATATAAATATTCTATAGTAGGATATGTAATATAAATAAAGAATTAGTAAGACAAAGATAAATAAAAATATTAAAATCAGCTTTATCTTCAGAGTGCCTCAAATGAAATACATAAAATAAAGATATGATAGATGATAATGAAAGAAGAATAGATTGCTAGCGTCATCTATCGAGTGCTAAAAACATAAATTTTCGAAAGCATTCGCAAGATGACGCTGACTCTCTATTCTTCCTTAAAGAGATTCCTCTTTAAAGAGATATCTTTGGTAGTCAAAAGATGGCGTTAAGAGTCCACTTTTATTTTATTCTTCTCTCATTACCTCCTATTCTTTCTTCGTTTCTTTTCGCGGCTCTCTAAAGATGGCACTGATTTCAATATTTTTATTATATTTCCATCGTTCCACTATTTTATTTTCTTTATCTAGTTACAAATACGATATCAAAGAATTACAACTAAATTATTTCATTTTTTCGTATTTCAATTTTTTTCTAATTTAAAATTTAAGAAAAAATTCAAGAGAGAAATAGATTTTTCGGGAAAAGGCAATATAAAGTAACGAATGAAATTCGTTTTTGTCATATTTGTATTTGTACAATATCCGTTTATACATCTTTCTTATTAAGGGAATAGGCCAGCTGGGGTTACGGGTGGGGGTACACAAATCCACAAAGTTTCCTCGAGAGGAGGAATATGGGCGAAAAATTCGAAAGACTCGCATGACGCATTTTAATTGCGCCCATACATACTACAAAAAATCAGTCATCGTGTTACGCACAATAATAAATTATCAGCGACGTAACACCCTCTCATTGAAACACGTTTTACACGACATTTTACACGACAATTTCCACAAAGTACTATTTTTTTTTTTTTTTTTTGAATCGTATTCGTTTAGCCTAATCAAAAATTATTGAAATTTTTCTTTCGTTTTCTTTTCATTTCGTTATTACATTTTTCTTTTGTTACATTCTTATTCCTAGAACAGTGATTTCCAACCGCATTACATATCGTTGGTTATTCCGTAAATATTTGAATTTTTCGACGTTTTATCGTTTTTAAATATCCATTTAAAATCTTTTCTTACCAATTATTTATTTCTTTCGCAACGAAATCATAATTCTCATAATAGATTTATTCGTATATTATTCACTTTCTTTCGTTTGTAAAACGAAAGGATAAATCGACGATCCAATCCAACGAGGAATCATTGTGCATTATTGTGATTTATTGTGTACTACTGTATCTCTCTGTATTAAATCTCTGATTCCCTATAATTCGTTCACTTTGACAACATTTATAAATTTCTCTGTATCACTATTTTTCTCGATAAACTCTGCAATTATAGTTTCATCCGCAACATTTGATAAAATTACGCACGCTTTAAAACATGGAAGGAATCGGAAAGAATCCGATTTCGTTTCTCATATTTCCATAAAATTATAATATCATATACTTTCATCAACATTCGATTTATTAATTATCGACTCGGCCATACTCGTGCACACTTTCTCACGGACTTTGTACTCGCGAACCAAACCTCTTCCCTCACTTTTTCCTCCCTCTATCAAGGGAGGACGATCCAGGGCTGAAAAGGTTGAAACACACTGTCCTAGAAGTCCTATTCCCACGTCACGTGAATATCGATAAGGGGCAAACATTCTACGATTCTTCGAATCGAGTAGAATTTGCAAGGACGATGCTTGATCATCACGCGATCATTTTCTTTTTCTTTTTATCCGGATGTCGTTGGAACGGAAAAATCCATTTCTACGCCGTAGAAAACGTAGGTAGAAAAAGATTGGCGCGTATTATAATGCAAGGAAGAGATGAAAGAGATTTCTCGCCGTTTCCCCTATTTTCCTTTCCGAACGTGTTCTTCCGTCGCCTGGATGTATTCGATCGATTAAAGTTTGAGGATTCGATTGATCTTTTGAGAGCGCTAAAAGAAGCGTTTTCACGTCGAGAAACGATAGATGGAGGAAAAGAGGAAGAAAGTTGTGGAGTAGGGGGGAGGGGAAAGAGCAGAGTGAAATATCGTTTGTTTCGTCGATGATCGCTTGTCGTGGAAAAAAAGATATTGAACTCACGACGCGAAGACGCTTCCGTACGGGCTTCTATTACGATTTTACTTGACTTACTTGACACGTACTATCGCCACAGAATAAACTATAATCGAACATAATCGATCTAAGATTTATCTTGATCTCGATTAACCCGTAAGTTCTACCGCACACCGTGATTCTAATCCACATCAGTGCGCGACAATCAACACTTAACACGTAAGGACATCACATGAAATTTTTCTGTATAGAACGATACACCATCTAATTTACGCTTAAACTACCTCTTACACAAGATGCCTCACCCAGCGTGTCTATCACGAACTTTCTAATCCTCAATTGCAATGGAACACTTTCCAAATAGTATAATGAATTTTCAAGTAGAAAGATGAGCACGCGAGAAGGTAAGCGGAAATACAAGTGACCCTTGAAACGCTCTTTCTTTCTTTC